CTTCTACTGATAGGATAGAAATATATACTTAGGTCTGACCAAAAGTTCCCAGAACATTAAATAGTAATATAAAAATAAGGAGATATTTTCAATTTTATTTTATCAAATGTTGAGGATAGTTGCCATGATTATTTATATCAAGGTCAATCCTTTCTAACAATTTAGTAAAAGTTTTTTTGAAGTCTTTTTCGAAAAAAATTTTAGCTACCTTGGATACCACATGAGCTAATCATATTTCATTTGTTTTAAAAATTTAGTGGAATTTTATTCCGGAATATCAGTTGCATTCTAGCATTATTAGTAATGGGATATGGATTTATTTTAGATAGGTCAGTCATAAGTCATCTGATACTAACTGGCTTATTGAAGATGAATTGTCAAAGACTATTGTTCATGGAGACAGATGTGAAGCAAAACTTTGTTTAGTATATTCTTCAAATCAAATAATCTTCAGTATAGATAAAGGCAAGACTGTAGATCACAAGTATTATATTGAAAATTATCTGAACCCTTTTGTTAATGAAATGTGGAAACAAATATAGACATCAGGTTCAAAATGTACAAAGTTGCTTAAAGATGATCGTTGACTCGATACTCATCTGATCTTATTAATTATTTGACAGACGAAGACATCAATATAATGTCATAGCAGTCACATTCGCCAGGCCTGGTACTATGTAATTTGTGGCTAACTAATTTTATTGAATGTAGTCTAACTGATTAAATAAATGAAATATGATTAGCTCATGTGGTATCCAAGGTAGCTAAAATTTTTTTCGAAAAAGACTTCAAAAAAACTTTTACTAAATTGTTAGAAAGGATTGACCTTGATATAAATAATCATGGCAACTATCCTCAACATTTGATAAAATAAAATTGAAAATACCTCCTTATTTTTATATTTCTATTTAATGTTCTGGGAACTTTTGGTCAGACCTAAGAATATAGGTGCATCCAGATATAAACATGCATTAAATAGAGTACTAGATAAATACAAGACATGACTGTACATATCACAGTGATTTGTTTCACAAAATGAATTTTTTCGTAATATAAAACTTGATTTTTATATTTATAAAGAAAAATCGAAGTTTAGTTTATATGTGCAATGTTATTCATTTTTGTACAGAAATTTTATTGATATCTTTGATCATTGTACTGTTGTAATTCTATTCGTTTTTGTTCTTTAATACTAGTCTTAAAACTTTAAATTACAAATCATAATTGAGTATAGTGAATAAATATTCTTTTTATCGTATATTAATAATTACTTTTGATAGAAACTAGGTAGAGAACGGCGGTTTTCACCGTTTAAAAGAGGAGATGAAACTACGTTGAATCATGTATACAAGATTTTTCCTACAAGTTTTCTCACAGTCGTTCACCAATTTTTTCAAAAGATCCAGGCTTTTCAATAGGTTTATAAGGTAGATTTTTCGTTAAAAAATAAGAAAAATAGTCAGTTTTCTATGAAAAATCTGCCGATAACATGCAATAAAATGTATGTAATTCATGACTGGCTAGATCTTACAACATCGGACTTACATCATTTATAGATCTTCACTTAATGATTCTAGTACACTTCTGAAAATTCAAATCGTAAAAACTTTATATTGAACAATATTTTGTTTTTAAGAAACTTAATGGCAGACTCCGAGAAACCTTGTCAGAAAAATCTGGTATACATTATTCAAAGCAGTTTCATTTCCTCTTTTGAACGGTGAAAACCACAACTCTCTATCTAGTTTCTATCGAAAATTATTCAAAAAATATTTACATTTTTTCTTTTTTGAAATGGATATTAGTTGTATTAGTATTGTTTCTTTTGTAAAAAAAATTAATATCATATTATTCAAATAATATGATTTTAATTAATTATAATCATATGTGCGGACTCAATTTTTCTGTATACGATACAAAGAAATACGACATCTATACGGATGATTAACTTGAATCCTTATGCATAGATGTCTTTTTCTGTTGACTCTAGCCATCCTTTCAATCTAAGGAATTTTGTTTCAAATATGAAATTTTATTGCTTACAAATACCAGGGACGTCCGGAGGTCGACGACTGCAGAGATTGATTGTAAGCTTTTTGCAAAAGTTCATTGAATTTTGGTGGAGTTGAATATTTTATTTTTTGGAATTGATGAACGAAAACAAAACAATAAAATGCTAGAACTCGCTGGAGTAAAACAAAAATTTTTCAAGACTATGGAGGTCAGAGGTCATCACATGTCCCGCTTGGAACATCTCTGACAAGTACAAAAGAAAAGTTTTCTTTATGTTGATATGACAATGATTCACCACAAAAAAATAAAATAAATATTCTTATATATTTCAAAGTCATAAACAACCGGTTTTCCAGTATGCCGTTGTCAAAAGTTAATATTTTATTATTTTAAAGTTTTTAGTACATTTCATTTTCTTCATAAGATAAAATATTTAGAAAGAAACATACTCTTTTCTTGACTTTCGAATATGTTGAATCAATTATTTAGATATAATATTAGTTCATAGAAATGTTATGTTAAAAAAAAAAACATCAATTTTTGTTGATTTTCATTAAAAATTCAAGGATTCATATCTATAATCATTAGTCAGAAAAGAAATATAAATCAACATTCAGAATGATCACAAGATTCTAGTTCTTACACGTTATATATCATTTAGATTTGCTTGAAAAACAAATTGAATCAAGTTTAAATTTGAAAAATTCCAGAAGTTCTGTTGAGAATATCAAAGATTGTTGTGCAACATGGTTTTATTTCTTTTATGATCAATATCGTGCATACTTAACATTTCTTTTTTTATCGATGATTGATGGTTTGATTTTTAACTTTTCACCTGTTGTCATACCATTACAATGACATATAACAAATGATTATTTTATGTAATGTTCGATGTTTCATATCTCATTTGTCAAAAACATTGAAGAAGTGTACATTTTTCTATAAAGTCTTTTTTTTTCTTTTTCTTCATAAAATAATTTGTATTGATCGATCAGTTAGAAATCATATTTGCTTTTAGTGAATATATTCATTTTATTATCATCATAATTAATACAAAGTGTGTGAGAATGAGAGAAGACGCACCCTTTGACTGATTTGATTGAATAGAGTTTGTGTTGACTTGACAAGTAAGCGAGCAAGACGAGACATATAGAAAATAAAAAATAAGAACAAGAGAGAGAGAGAGAGAGAACGAAAAATCACAGCTCGATCTGTCAACATCAATCAAATTCTGTTGTTATATACTTGGATTTGTATAGAGCAGGCGGGCGAGCGAAGCTCAAGTTTGCCAAACGGCCGATCATTTATAACAAGAAAATGAGTCTACACAATCTGACATTTATTGTTCTGTCTGACATATACTAAAAATCCAACTTGTTATGATCCTTTCTTTTTTTTTTCTTTGTATTCTTCACGCTATTACTTCGATGATGTCAACTGAATCTTAGAACGATGGCACTTTAATGTTTGCGAATATTGTATGTCTGATTTATTGCTTTTGAATTATCATAAATCAGAAAACTCTCGTCTTTTCTTGTTCAATTTCATTAATACTCTTATTCTTTTTTTTTTTTCGTTCGGATAAATCAATCTTTCTCATCGTTATCAAATGTTGCTATTTGTAATTCGAAAATTTATGCTGCTATCTCATTCATCATGTATATGTATATGTGTGTTAGTCACATCTAATTACCCATTCACGTTCAACTCATACTCACGAGAAGCTACAGGATATACCGTTAGGTTTAATAAATGATGAAGTACTCTTGTCGTCTATACATAAATAGTCTGTAGGCGTGATGAAAGTATGAGTAGTCACTCAAAGTAAAAGATGCGATGATATATTTCATAGGAGTAGTCTCGTTTTTTTTTTTTTAAACATAACAATCAATCTAGAATGTCATCGAACGATCAATCTTCTTTTTTTTTATGTTATATATCATTCAAATTCACATAGTGACTATCTATCTGACTAATTCGTCTTTATTTTTCTTTTTGAAAACATCAATAATGGAAATCACCATATGCCGCAAAGATCTAAAGTATAAAATGTTGTTTCCCAGTTAGAAAAGATAGATGATGATCATCGCTGTCATCCTCTATTGTTGCTTGTCGTTTGGATGAGTGACATGTCTGCACATGTGCTGTTTTTTTTTGCGCGACAAATCGAACTCATTTATCTTCATCAACAATTAGATCGAAACAGGCAGCCAACCTGTCAGTATCTACAATCGTTGTCGCATCTCACTGCCTTCATAGACTAATGATGTTGCTAGCTGCCAGTCAAATATAAAACTACTACATACCATTCATCATTGAATCAATCCATCAAATAATCACCTCGCTATTTTTTTTCCTTTTTCTTCCCTTCATCTTTATTGCATATGTCGGTCTTGTTTCGTTCGTTTCAATAACATTCTCTAATAAGGATATATACTGTGAATAAAAACCTGTATGTAGCTCTAGTTTTTGTACAAATTAGAATCAATGTCTCATTCATGTGAAACAGGTTGCAATTAGGTTGCTTTGAAACTAGTTAAATATATATATATATATAATCATCACTAGTTTTGTTGATTGACATTTGATTGACAGTTCAAAATAATCAATGTGACATGCAAGATTTTAAGCATTCTTTTTTTTTTTTCTTCCTTTTCGGATTTTCGAATGTCTACTTAGATATATATGCATATCTATCATAAGCCTTTAAGATTAATAGTCATTTCGATGTATTTTTTTTTCACATCACATTATTTATTATATATAGATTTGTCTATTCCTATCAATCAAAAAATAAAATATATATGTATATGTATGCATGGGGCGGTAAGCATTTCTTTTGTTCTCTTACTCTCTCCGACATTAAATCATCCATCAATCATTCATACAAATGATTTGTAAAAAAAAAAAAAAAAAGAAACAGAAAAAGAACACCATTGTTTTTTTTTCTCTCTCTGCTTTATTGTTCAGTTGTTATTCATTATAGAATGACGGACAACAGCAGCATACCTGTTGATTTACGTATTAAACGAAAACATGTTGTTACCGAAGATGATAAATTATCAACTAAAAAAAAACCTCGTAACCATAATAATGACAATCCACTTGATTTATCTATTAATTCGCATTATTATCCTTCGTCACAATATTCAATATCAACAATTCCTTTTTATAATCCAACAAATTTATTTTTCAATTCGTCTACTTTGCTCTATGATCTATTCTTAGCGAATATAAATTCTTATTGTCAACAACAATATCAACAAGCAAAAGTTGAATTAGTTCCATCTAAATCTATTAAACAAGAAGCAATAACTTCTTCTTCTCGTCTAATAAAACATAATTCAATAACAAATAAACATGAATCTTATGCTTGTTCATGTGGTAAAACATATTCTAATGTTGCTCAACTTGTAAGTCATCTTAAAATAACAAATCATAATGCACAATCATCATCAACACATGATGAAGTAGCTAAACTTGTTCGTGGACAAGATATTTGGTTGTCACGTGATACAAATCCAGCTAATCAAATTTTAAAATGTCTTCGTTGTTCATTATCATTTGAAACTTTACCTGATTTAACAGCACATATGATGAAAACAAATCATTTTACACAACTTTTATCATCATCATCAAATTCATGTCAACATTCCAATTCAAAACAACAACAACAACAACAACAACAACAACAACATTCACCAACAAAAATCTCTAATACACAATTACGTTCAACATGTCTTGTTTGTTCTCAACAATTTGCACGTGAAGTTGATCTTGTTGATCATTTACAACGTTTACATCAAATACGTTTTAATTGTACAACATGTGGAATGTATTTTGAAAATGAAAATATTTATAAAGAACATTTAATAAAAGAAATGCATCATAGAAATGGAAAAGCAAATAGAAATCGAGATTATTTTATTAATCAATGTAAAACATTACAAAAACGATCAACTAATGAAAAAAAGTAATATTATATAACACATTTTAATTTATTAATTTGTTCGTTTGCTTTTTTTTTTCTTTTCTAGATCTGAACAATGTAAATTTCGATCATCTATTGATAAAGAAGTTGAACGTGTTACATCAGATTTACTTGATCGTATTGTTCCTAAAGATGAAATAACAACTAGTAATGCTCTATCACTTTTACAAAATTTTGTTATTAAACAAACACCATTATCAAATAGTTTAAATCAACATACACAAATGGATTTGAATAATAATTATGATGATGAAAATAGTAAACACAGTATGACAAGTTTATCTGATGAAAAATTATCATCATTAAATCAAACGCAATCGAATGAAAATCCATTAGCTTCATTAGAAAAAATGCTTGCGTATTCAACAAATATAATTGATACATCTTCAACATCTATAAATGATAATGAACCTAAGAAAAAAAAATTTGATAAATATCGTTTATTTGCTGAAAAAATGATTCGATCTACTACTTTGTCATAATACTTCTAGTTTCTTGTTTTTTCTTTGTTTCATTGCTTTATAAATATCTAATATCTTTTCTTTTATACAATTTCTTCTTAAATCAAAAGTTACGATATATCTAGTAATTACAAATTGTATATTATCGATAATATGTCAAGGATCGATCAGTAGATTAACAGAAAGAGTTCGGGGGAAATACATCGAATGGAAAGATTATTGTAGACTACTTATTTGACTTGTGTTAGATATTACTGTTTCTTGTCAAATCAATTCATCTCATGAAATTCTAGTTTCCATAATTATTCTTTCGTGAGAAAGTCAACTCAATGACAACGATAAAGATGTCGCACTCGCACTTGTATCATCAAGAATTTGATCTATACTTAGGTTGATTAATAAAAATGCATTCGAAACTTTTTATTAATATTTTGTTATTAATTTCTTCTTGTTCATGTATGACTAGTAGTTATTTATCTAATATAGTTTTAATGTAAAATGTCAAAAAAAAATTAGGCAGCTTTTTCAATTTAATAAAAAGAAAAAAGGATGGAACGTTAAGAAGACAAATCGGCCTCCTCTCAAAATCGGATAGTGTCTCTTCTATTTTGGCTGTTAGAATTCTCTTCTCATCAAAATTAGACCATTTAAGACATTTTATATTGTACCAAAATCAATTTATTCATCCATCTTTTCCCCATATTAAATGACGTCCGTAAAGTTAACACCATATTCGACTTTTTTTTTCGCGATTCGCTGTACCACTTGAGTTGAGTTCGATGCAGAATTTGATGCTGAATAGAATACTTTTGTTTCTAAGAGTGGCATTTCAGGGAATATCTTGCAAATCGCTTCGAAAAAAGAGTAGTGGGATAGAAGGAGGAATTTTGACCGACCACCACTCTTGAAAATAGTACCATTCGATTCATCATCAAATTCTGCACCTAACTCAACTTAAGTGGTATACTGAACCGCGACAAAAAAATGCCGAATATAGTGCTAGCTTTACCGATGTTATTTTTTGCTAAAGCTCAATTGAATTCTAACTTCTCTAACGAGTGTGAAAACACTTCTACAAAAGATAATTTTTTAAAAGTAATTTTTAAAAACATTCAAATTTTTTATATTTGGTAATTTCATAAGAAAATCATATGCATTTGTCTGTCTCATAGATTGTTCGATTTGATATTTCGTTGTATTTTCTTTAGCAAAAGATATATTTTCGTAAATTGTTGTGAGTGGCGGGCCATCATTGTGGCAAAATATGGCAATTGCCACACCAAAAATTTTTATTCGTTATAGGTTTTTCTGTACGACTGTTTTTTTCGATCCACTCTTTCATCGGGAACCAGCAAAAAGAAAAATAAGACCAGAAGTGACTCCTACTTTTCTATAGAGGTATCCTCAGACAGGTCTCAATTTATCAGTTTTTCCAGAGCTGATATAGACATTGATTATTTATTTGTTCTTTTTTTGGTTTTTATGGAATTTAAAAGTGTCTGCAGGAGAGTTTTTAACTAAGGACAGAAAGATTGGCTAAAGCCTTATGTTTTCAAGTAAATTTGATTCATATTCTATTCTTTGGGTATTATGCTTTGCTATTGGTTTCAAAATCGAAAGGAACAAGTTTCATTAAGACATCTTGGATTTTAAGAAGGTAATGAAGTAATGCTCCTAATTAATCGAAACATATAGTATAAAAATCCTTTGAATATATGTGTTGAAGGTAAAACTGAAATTCAGGCTAATTTAAAATTAGCCTAGGCAACATTGAAATTTTATTTTGACTGAGGGAAATTAAAATTTTAACTTTGGAGGGGTGTCCAAGGACTGAGGATTAGGAATTCCTACTCAGCTCCCTGACATTTTCTTGAATGCTAAAATTAAAAAAATACAATATCCACGGTACTTATTACTCTTACACTCGTTTTCATCAAGAAATTTGTGCACATTAACGTATGAATACGAAAATTATTGCAAAAAAAGCATTATTTTGACTTTCATGAATGAGGGAACTTTGATGGAAATAATGGTCAATTTCCATTTCCCCAAGGAATTATCATAGCTATACTGACAATTCCTCTGCAAATTAGGAATTCCTATTTCTCAGTCCTTGGACACTGCTGGTTTTTTGAATAATTCCAGGACGCAAGCAGCTAGAGACTTGGGGTTTTCGCCAATCGAAGAAGGAGATCGGGGGACGTCTTTTTCTCCAATAATGTGTAAGAGAAAATCCTTTTAAAACAAATTATCAGCAGTGTCCAAGGACTGAGAAATAGGAATTCCTAATTTGCAGAGGAATTGTCAGTATAGCTATGATAATTCCTTGGGGAAATGGAAATTGACCATTATTTCCATCAAAGTTCCCTCATTCATGAAAGTCAAAATAATGCTTTTTTTGCAATAATTTTCGTATTCATACGTTAATGTGCACAAATTTCTTGATGAAAACGAGTGTAAGAGTAATAAGTACCGTGGATATTGTATTTTTTTAATTTTAGCATTCAAGAAAATGTCAGGGAACTGAGTAGGAATTCCTAATCCTCAGTCCTTGGACACCCCTCGAATAAGGAAATGGTATTTTTGAAAAATGACGATATTTCCTAAGTTTTAATCAATGATCTTTAGAGTCGGAAAGTCTAAATCTATAAGCCGTTGCTCTAAACTCAAGAGTTTGATTTTGTCATTAGGGAAAGGATAATTTTTGAAAATAGTGATCTTATTCTATTCCTAGCGAAAAAAAACAAAACTCGGAAATTTCGAGAAGTCACTTATAGATTCGATTCATTGACTTCGAAACCCTTTAACCACAAGTTTAGAAAATATCGTTATTTTTCAAAAATACCTTTTCCTTATTCAACTCAGAAATTTTGCGTTACTCGTGCAGTTACTAGATAAGGCAGCGTTATCGTTATCTGGTAACGTAACTAGCGGGTAACAGTAAAATCCCTTGCATAAATATTGTTGAATAAAATAATTCATTCAAATTTTAATTGTTTTGATAAAGATTTTTTTATGATAAGTTTGTGGTGCCATTTTTTTCATTTTTTTCTCAATTTTTGTAAGAGTGAAAATAATAAATATAAAATGAACAGGATGAATACAACAGAAGCTTTTTAGCATAATAATCGAAGCATGTGAATGAAATTTAAGGCTTGATTTTTTTTGTAAGTTTCTTACACTTTAATAACTTTGCCACACCAAAAACAAATGACCCTGACCGCCAATGAGGTTAGGTATAGTTAGAAGCGGTTAAGTATAGGAATAAGGGATCGAATATAGTTATAAGGGTCTAAGTATAGAAATAAGGGGTTAAGTATAGTTATAAGCAGTAGTGTCCAAGACCTGGAAAATAGGAATTTCTAATCTGTAGGGGAACTGCCAATGTCGCTGTGATAATTCCTCGGAAAAATGAAAATTGACCATGGATTCCCTCATGGTTCTTCTCCCCTCCCATCCATGAAAGCTAAAGGGATGCTTGAATTGAACAAAGCATCTGATTAGTTGTTTAATATGAATTATTCCTTGATCGAGTGTTCCACGCTGATATAATCAACTACAAATCTTTTCTTCGAATTGAAAAACATGTTTGAATAGTTATTTTTTATGAATTATTTCTTAATCGAGTGTTCTTCGATTATATAATCAATTAAAATCTTTATTCTGAATTAAATGAAGCATCTGATTAGTTGTTTATTATGAACTATTCATTGATCGAGTATTCTTCGGTTATATAATCAACGAAAACTCTTTGCTCTGAATTGGACAAAGCATTTGATTGGTTGTTTGGTATGAATTATTCCTTGATCTAGTGTTGATCGGTGATATAAACAATTATAAATGTTTGCTCTGAGTGGAACAAAATATTTGAATATCTTTTCTTATTATTCGTTTGTGGTGTAGTGTATTTGAATGGTAGGTAGTCATCTATCGTTTCTTTGAAGTGAGGAGCATATTTGAATAAGATGTTTAAACGAGATATGTTATGGCAACATAGTATTGATTTTAATTGCTTAAGGATTGTACTAAGAGCTTTGTTTTCGCTGTAGAATAAATGATACGTTTACAAATGGAAGAGTGTGATTCATCATCAAATCCAAGGAACATTTTCTTTTAGTTAGTTTTCTTTGCTTATTTTTTTTAATTAAATCGCTTCTTTTATTTATATTCTCACAATCTTTTCTCTCTTCGCTTCTTACATGCTTGGTAGTTTTTTGCTTTTCATTTTTTTTTCTCATTCATATTTATTAATTCCAATAAAATACATATAAGTCATATTTGGTTTGTACCAATAATGCATGTGCGACAAGAACATCAAAACCTAATACGATATTGAATAAATGAGTATTTTATTCAAGAAGAAAACTTTTGACTTTATTATAATAATGGGAAAAGGCATAGATGAATGACAGTAAATGAAATAATTTATTTTTGTTTTTGTTTTGTTGAATTTTTGGTCATATAATTGCGATCATCATCAGAACAATTTATAAAACATAAATCGAATGTACCAACATCAGCTCGACCAGAACATAAACCACTATTTATAATACTAATAATAATAATAATAATCAGGGAAGGGAAAAAAGTTCGCGAAATTTTTTCTATCGATATAAATAGAAAATTTTTTGAGAATTTTTTTTCATAGATTATATCATAAGATGCAATGTGAAAAGTTTTACAATTTACATAGACCGGCTTTGCTGAAAGTTGCACTTTTTTTTTTAAAAACAATCAAACTCGAAGCAACCAAATTTTGACGCTGCGAAAAAGACTTTGTTATACATGACGGGTTTTTTGTGATCTTTTCACTTTTTGTAGATTTTGAAAACAAAAAGTGCAACTTTACTCAGAGCCGTCTTATGTAAATTGTGGAGTTTTTCACGCTGTATCTTCTGGTACATTTTGTATTTTCATTAAAACATATCAGATAACGAAAGATTAGAGAAGAAAAATGAACTCCTCATGTACCAAAAAAATATCGTTTTCGCATGGTCGAAATTTACTTGCTCAAAATTTTATCGATTTTGAAAAAGAAAAATTGCAAATATAAAATAAGTGATCTTATGTAAATTGTAGAGCTTATCACACTGCATCTTATCATATAATTTATGGAAAAAAAGTTCTCAAAAATTTTTCTATTGATATCGATCGAAAAAATTCCGCGAACTTTTTTCCCTTACATTAATAATAATAATTGGACTTGTGAGTGTTCATGTAGAATAAACAAATACAGGGCGTTTCATAAGTTTTAAGGCTTGTTAAAAATTAACTTTTATATAAACAAAAAACGATCTCAAATCAAATATGCTTATATAAAATGTGAGTATTCGTGACGGGCTTTCAAATGGTGCATTATGATAATATATCTTCTCTTGTGATAGTAAAAGTATAAGCATGACAATGTTATGATAAATTTTTTGAAATCGGCTAATATCAATTAGTTATTTTATTATAAAAAAGAAAATCATTCTTGTTTACAAAAAAATATTAATTCTATTAGACAAATATATGGTTTAACTGTCATGTATCTGTTCTCCACCATTTTTAATCACTTCGTCGAGTCTGTTAGAAATTTGATTAATCAACTTTTTACAATCATCACAAGTAATCTTTTTCCATTCTTTGTTCAATCTCATTTTTAGCTGTTCAAAATTTGAAAATTGTTCGCCTTGTACTTTTTTCTTTAGAATTTCCCATATATTCTCAATAGGCCAGACATCGGCAAATTTAGCATCACCTTCTTCTGGTAAAATTCAATCATTAAATAATTTATCAACAGTTCGTAATACAATTTTGGTTCGTTGCTTTGAGTCAGTATCATCTTGAAATATAAAATCTCTTCCACATACCTTCTGAGTTTCTGGATGAGCAACTTCTTTAATAAATTTAGCATATAAATGACCATTCATATAAGTTCTTTTCTTTTTATCTGTTGGTTGCTTTTTCAACCATGATATGACATCAATTGGACCGTTTTTGGGAACTAATCCTTCATACGAGATGCCACCCCAAAAAATAATACCACTTGCAAACTTTCTTGTTGGTCGTTCACGGGGTATTGATGGTATTTCTTCAAATCTTGTTGCCCAAACACCTTTGTTGTGTGGATTTGAATGTGATTCTAAGATGAACTTTCTCGAAAAATCCATGTTAATAATTTTATTCCACACTCATTTACTTGATCTTTTTGTAACACCAAAATTTCTTTTTAACTTCTTGGCACATTTAACACGTTGTACTTTATTATCATATGTCAGTTTTTATATTCTTCTTTTTTTAAACCATTTTGATCCGGCTGATCGGACAATCCTGTAAACTGAAGATGGTGACGATTTTCAACCAATTTTTTTAAGATTTTGCTGATACATTTCTAACCCTAGCTTTATGTTGGTTTTGAATTTTTTTTAATACCAAATTTCTCTCAGATGTAATTGTAGTTGTTCGTGATCAACCAGGTCTTTCTCTTTCACAAACTGCTCCTCTTGCTAATATATAATGATTTTTGTTTACTAAAGCATGCCGATTTAAATGTGGTGGATTATCTGATTGTTCGAAGAAATCGGCAATATTAGGCACAGTCTAGCTATGTCGAAACGAACATCAAATAAAACTGAATTAAAAAAGAAAAATATATAAGAATAATAGTAATAGTCATGTACTTTTCTATGATTTATTTGTTTTATCCGAATCTAGTAATAAAACAAACAATCACACTTTGAATTTAATAAACGTTTCAAATAAGAAAAAGATATGAACGTTACCGATGAAAAAAAAGTTTACGTTCTGCACAGTCATGTGATGTGTTCATATATTTTATCCGTTTCAATTCGATTACTGAGTATATAGTGAGGTTAAACATGTGATCTATACTTCATAATGAGCGTCGAATAACCGATTAAGATCACTAGTTCTTGGCTCTTGCTACACTTTTTTTAATGAAAAATGAGCCTAAGACCTTTTTTAAAAAATCTGTAAAAATTCATGTTGGTCGATTTTGAAAAATTTATCATAACATTGTCATGCTTATATTTTTACTATTACAAGAGAAGATATATTATCATAATACACCATTTGAAAGTCCATCACGAATACTCACATTTTATATAAAAACATTTGATTTGAGTTCGTTTTTTGTTTATATAAAAGTTAATTTTTAATAAGCCTTAAAACTTATGAAACACTCTGTATGTGCTATAACTTGAAATAAAATCTTTCTTGATGAATATTTTCAAAAACGATACAACAATATCAGCTTAAAAGAACAATATCGCCTCAATTCATAGCGTATTTTCAATGAAAAAATCTAAAATTGATAACAATGAAGTGAAGAATCTACGCAGCGAAATTTCTTATTCTATCATTCATCATTAATACAATAAAATCAATTTTCTTTTTCTTTGTATACAATTTAGCAATGATTGATTCATACGTGAATTTTTTTTTTATACAAAGACAAAATAGAAAAATTCAAACTAAGTGATATATAAATATTCAAAAATAAAAATGTCTAATTTAAGCATAGACAATGTGGTAATTGCCTAATGAACGATTTTTATCATCAAGTGCTTGTTTAAATGTTCCCACACTAACTTGTCCATGTTCATTATTAGCAGCTGCTGTTGTCCATGCATAAACAAAATCTTCACCTGATACAGTAATATTTGCATTAGCAAATATATCACGTATTTCTTCCATGGTTTTTGGTGCTAATAAATCATCTTCAGTTAAACCACGATCACTCCATATTGATGGTGATAATAAAGCACCAACAATTGTATTTGAACCAAGTGGCGGTCGGTTTTTATGATTTGCTGTTGGTATAGCATATTGACTACGTGCAATAATTGATGGTAAACCATATTGACGTTTAACTTGTGGTTCAAGACGAAATGGTGCTTCATTAATTTTATCATAACTTGTTTTCCAACCATCGGGTACCATTTCATCAATTTGTGATATAAGTTTACGTGGATAATATTTTCCATTTGTACTTTCAATAAGATCAGAAATATTTAATAATGGTCGACCTTGATTATCTTTTATAATTCCAGTTTGAATCTTATTATTATTTTTCTTTTTTTCTTCATTTATAAATTGTTCAAGACCACTTGAATGTGCAATACGATAACAAAGAAAATTACTAAATTCAAGAAAATTTAATCTTCCATCACGATCTTGATCACATTGAAACATTAATGCAGCAATAAGACCATCAGATAATTCAAGATTAAAATTTTTTTCTATTGTATTCGTTAATTCATGTATAGATATAAAACCATCTTGATTTGTATCATAATATTGAAATGCTTGTAATTGTGTTTTAAATGTTGTCATATGAAGTGAACATAATTGTGAACGTAATTTAGCTAAAGCAGCTTGAGATTTTTCATCAAATACAGCTGGAACATTTGCTCGTTGATGAATTATTTCACCGGCTGATAACCGATCAGATCCTGTTGCTACTCCAAATCGATGATCGACAGGTAAACCAGTTTCAGCAAGAAAACGACGTGTACGTATAGCAGCATTATCACAACGAGATTCATCATATTCATTGACAGTTTGTGTTACAATTGGTGTCGTATGATTTGGTCGAATCCATATTAGAGATTCACGTGCATGACGACCATCAGCATAGACTGGTGTTGGAACACCATGAGTTTGATAACGAATCAATTCACCATTTTCATAATGACGTTCAAGTTGTTCACCTGGTTCAAACTCTTTATGACTGAAGAGATACCTGAACAAAAAACAAAAAGTTTAAATATTTAGAATTATAAAAATACTACATTGTAAAATTCTTTCAAAAAAAAAAGAAACACATATATCGTCTTACATGCTTCGTGGTTGTTCAAATTCATATTCAATTTGTGCTTGTGATTTATTTGGATTAATAAGATCTCCTGCTTTTTCACTCGAACGTGTTGGAATTCCAAATGTTGTTTTATATTTATTAATTGTTGATGGTAATGAATTTTCTTGTTTTATTCTTTGTCTATTTCTGTCATAAACAAGTTCATTTAAATTAAATAAACGATTTTCGAAAGTTGTTTTTGGTTTAGGATTAATTATTTCTCCATTTTTTCCATCACCTAAATTCATTTGATCACCATGTATTTCATCACGATGATTTGGATCATAAGCACGTCCAGGATGAATTCGAGGACGAGATACATCAGGTGCTGTATAATTACGGTAACGTTGTACAACTTCAGGCGTAGAAAATTCAACTGGTTTATCAGTTAAAACTTCCCATAACTGATCATGTGTTAAAGCTTGTTTTACCGTAGATGCCATTGACAAAAAAAAAAAGAAATATTACTTTATGTTTGCTTCTTACAACTTCTATCGTCAATCTATATGTTTGTTCGGATGCCAAGCAACGATAAACGAACGAACGAACAAACGAAGAACAAGCTTATATCTTTTTTCTTTTTTATTCTTTTTTTTTTCTATTCTCAATCATCAACATAGAATATTTGTGACTTACGTTTTGTTTTGTTTTTTTTTGTTAACAAAAAAAAAATACTGAAAACTATGTTTGTTATTTATTATTTCAATTATATGAAAAGGAATAAATGATCTATATTGAAAATGTTCAATACAACAAAAAAGAAATATTGTATGATTCTAAAAAATATTGAATAATATAAATGACTTGAAATAGCTTTATGATCCACTTGATCATCGGTTACACAAGCAATTACTTAAGAACCAAACATTTATCGCTTTTTATTCAATAGATTATCAGATATTGTTACTAGGTGTAGCCAAAGATTAATACCACCAAATGTGAACTTAATAATTCTAAAAAAGGAATCAATAACAATGATATACAGTTAGTATCAAAATTATTCAAAAAAAAATCTTTTTTTCAATTTCCTATACAGAAACCATTTTTTAACCTTCAACCAAATTGTTGCATCTAAGCCAAAAAACATCTCATTTTGTAGAGGATGGTTTAATCTATCGTTCTATATAGTCTAAAGAAAAATTAGATTTATCTGTTCTAGGTGTTGAAAAACGAGGATTTGGATTTTCTAGAATTCCTATCTTTGTGCATCTTATAATAATTTTCATTTCCGTATATTCTTGTTTGAGACCATTTTCTACTATTTAGATTCTTTCTAACGTTTACGGCGGCAGCAGAAAAAACTGAAAATAAATTTTGGCACTCACGGTACGGTATGTATGTGTTGTTATCAAGAATTTCAAAATAAGAGAGATTGATTATTAATTCATTGATATTTTATAATGTATTTCGATTAATTTAATTACATCAATAAAAATGAAATAATGCTTTTCTATAGAAGACTAATTACTTTTTGAATGCCATCGTCTTCCTGAATCTGATAGTATATCAAAATTCTATGGAAATTACTCAAATGGAATAATCGATTCCATTTCGTATATTCGGAGAACATATAATATGATATTAAGAGAAAGTTTTTATTATTTATGATGAAAATCTTACAGCATAGAAATACTAACGACGCTGAAGATTAAAGAAAAATCTGTAGACCATCTTGCAAGATTCTGAACTAGAGATGTGTGAATCGTATGCATTACACAAATGATAAATCAGATCATTCGTGTTTTTGAATATATCAGTCAATGGATGCAAATCAATGTACATCTTCAAAAAATGATGAATATGAGATAATACAAGCTGTGAAAGGGCAATCATATTCGTAGTGCTGACATAATCTTTTCAAAGACTGATAAATCGAGAAGAAAAATCGAAAGTTTTTCTAACTCATAAGCAAAAAATTTCTTCCGAGTTGTAGCGGAATCACCCACATTCTCGATAACTCAATATAAATAAGTACACAATATGTTTCACAAAATACAAGGACAAAAACTATCGTCCAAATACTGATGCCTATCAGTTTTGATTGACATAACTTTGAAGCTTAACAAGCATACGAAGGAATTGAAATCGATATCAGTTCCTATGCAAATCTCTAATTCTAAAAGTTCATGGCTGTTTCAAGATGCTAATGATAGGGAATGGTATACATGGTTTTACTGTCAACTGTAATATCAATTATTTGTCATGATCTAGGTTGTGCAAATTCATTCAGTATCAACTGTATTTTTCGTAAATCGAATATGAGGATCTCTACTAATTACCAATTACTTCTGCACACGTCTTATATGTTCCGTCGGAAGACAATTATTTAAAAATTCTTGATATTTATATGAAAAAAGATTTACTCACTAAAACACTTTCTGTTGAAACTTGACTAATAGTTATGTAGCAATGAAGATATTATACGATAAGTTCATCAGCATGATTTATTGAGATTATATTTTATTAACACTGATAAGTAAAAAGATCAAAAGAAGAAAAAAAAGAGTGATACTCTTCTGATGGATCGAAGATAACAACTAATAAACTGCTACTTCTACTGTTGAACAATATAAAAACGGAGGGCAAATATAGAAAAGAAAAAAGACCGATGACCAAAAGACAATAGTTAAAATCTTAGCATTAACAATGTCATCTATTGATACTAACACTGATTTTAGACAATCTCTTATATTTAAGAGAGAAACTGTAAACAACAACTATATCGGAACATTTGTCGTCAAATGAATGTGTTCTAAACACTCGGAAAAATCTTGCTATTCGTTATAATCTTTTAAGAATGAATATTTTTTCAGAGATTTATTCAATACTTATGTCAATAGAATTGATGAATGGAGTCCTCTGAAAAATAAAATAAAGCAAATCTTATCAATATTTCCTCCTAATCTTCAAATGGCAAATAGTAATGTACTTGTACAAGATTCTACTAATAACATGTCAAATGTCTATTTCTAGTAATAGCAATCTGATAACTTTTGATAATTGAAAAGTTGTCACAACCTTGTAAATGTCTCGATCAAAACGTTCTTTTACACATATATTTTTTTTTTTGATTATTTGATTCTTCATTGTTCAATTTACTATGAAGACAAAAAGAATACTTGTGTCCAACTGTAATCATTGTCAAAAGAGAAATTCTATATCGATAATTGACCATGCCTGCTTTGTTTCTAAATGGACAACTCATAGAACAAATATTCTTTTTATATTGTCCATTATTGATCACATTCAATATATTGTTTGATTACATAATAGATCTATTTTCTTTCATTGCATTACAATGACTGTATTGTAGCACACGTCATATTCCTGAAGGCTAATAATGTCATTGTGGCGGGCGTCCATTGATTGTTGAAGCATATAGCGACGCACTTTCTTCATCAAATTCCCAGTAAATGCCGACAAATCTGTTCAATCGACCATATTCTTCTATCAATTGTTTGATATATCTTAACATATTACGTATTTTAATCGAAAGAATTTATTCATCTGTCTATCTGTCTGTCTGTCTACGTTGAAATAGCAAAAATAAATTAAAAGTCACGTTTACATTTGAATAAAATATACTTCTAAACTTTGAATATCTAATGAACTTCTGACTATCAAATAACTATATAAGATGATTTCTTTTTTTTTTTTTTTCTTATCTATTTATGTTTTCTATTCACATCATTGACAGAGATGTAATTACAAGAATATGAAAAAAAAAAGAAAATATACATAGAGAGTCAAAGGACGCTCTTCCATCTTTCACCCCTGCTGGCACTTTTATACACACATCTGCTTACTGATTTTGCTCATAGAGCTTTATCGAGTGCTGGGTGTGTCGGTCAGGAGAAAGAATTAGTAATGAGGCTGACCAATCGAGAATAAAAAGGCGAACATTGTTCATCAACGTCTCCCTCCTATTCTTTTTCTTTCCCCACCCTCGTTTTCCTCTTGATGTATGAAGAGAAGAGAGGAAAATCCCGCCGTCATCATTGTCGTCGACGAGACGTGTGCATACGCATGTTGAACGAGAGTATATACTAGAAGCGTGTTATAGAAGAGAGAAGAAAAAAAATACGGATGATGGTAGTTAAAGAAGAGAAGTAGAACAAGAGAGAACGGACCAGCGTGTGGAGAGAACATCTATTGCTTTTTTTCTCTGACAACAAATAGTACGAACAAACAGCAATTTGCATTCATAGGTTTAGGTAAAAAAAAAATTGAACAACAATAATAACAATTATTCTCTTCTGACCGATTATGACATCGTCTTCTTTTACTACGCATACTATCTATTGAACAAATATATTCAACTGATCCATTGATACAGACAAAACTATGCCATACCAATATCAACTTTAATCCATATACTCGTAATCATCAATCATCAATTATCTACGTTATTCTCTCATCGTTTCCATCTCTCAACTATTTACATAATTGAACACATTTTTTTATATGATGATATATAATTAATTTCAAAAATGAATATAATGGAAAATGCTGAAAAAGAATGTGCCATACTTGGCTCATTATTTCAAGGAATCGTTAATGAAATGAAGGTTTGTATTAATATATACGATAATCTTTAATTGTTGCCCGTTAGCCAAAAAAAAAAAAAGAAAATGTTACATCTGCTTGGTAAAAAAGCATATTAATATGAAGACCTTTTAATACCAAGGTTTTCATCATTATATGCATTAATTATAGTTCTTAGCGGAAAGAAAGATCATTATACTTTTTTTGAACAAAAAACAAAAACAAAATGAATATTTTCTTTTTCATTTTTTTTTTGTATTTTAGAACAGTTCAACATTATGGGAAGATTTAGTGTCAAAAGCAAACAAAATGCATCTTCAACTTAAGTAATTCTAATATAATTCTGTTTTATCAACCTTGAAAATTCATATTGAACTATAGAAGAAGAAGAAGAATACTATTATGCACGAGACATTCATTGTATTTGCCTGATCGAATCAACAAGAAAAGTATTTGACAAGAAATACTGTTATGATTACAGTCATAGCTGATTTTCTTTTATGTCTATCATAAACTATATATATATATATATCTTTTCATTGATAAGTATGATCGATAATTGAATGATATACATGCACGCCAACCAAGTAATACTTGTTTGAAGAGAAAAGAGTTAGTTTGTTTCAGCTGTCACAATAATTTCTTCAATAGTCATTAGCACTTGAATGAGTACTGATATTATAGACTAGTAGACTAGACAATCATTAGTTATCATGAATGAAAAGAAAAAAGAAAAGAAAGAGTGCGTGTGTGTGTGTACGACCAATATAAAGTATATACCTTTCAGCTTAGCCGACACACTGGATAGAAGAGAAATGGGTCTATATAAAATTAGTTATTTTGATATTTACAAACTGATCCTGTTCATTTTTTTTTCTTTGTGTAAATGTCAATGAGG